ATTACAAACAAGCTCTACCATACCTGTTTTTTTCTTCTTATCTATCTGGAAAACTCCAGTTCATCTTTTAAGTTTTAGCTTCGGTGTGTACAGCAGAATAGACTGCTGTCCATAACAGCCTTCCAAAGGTGACCATTTCAGTACTCAAATATCTGTACCCAAGACTGAGTTAAACTCTCTCCCACTGCTTCTTTTTTCCTTTTTTATTCTGAACTTCTTAAAGAGAAATGATTGAGGGTTTTTTTTTTAATTTCTTTTTCTTTTCTGAATTCATTACCTAGGACATTACCTGTCACTTACTAAACACACAGTGCATATTTGAATGACTAGATCTAAACATTTTTAGTTATATGCAACTACATAAAATTGCATTAGTAATGAGATAATTTCAAATGTAGAGAAAAATAATAAGAGTAAAACAAAGAATAGACTTGCCCTACTTATTACTGTTTTTGATAAATACATGTGTATGCTATTAATTATTGCAGAATTGCTTAAGAATAAATTGCAACTGGCAGAATGGCTCAAGGTGTAAGAGCACCTGCCTAGCAAGTGTGAGATCCTGAGTTCAAACCCCAGTGCAGCCAAAAAAAAAAAAAGTTAAATATAAGTTTATAGGACAATAAAACTCTCATATTTAAAAAAAAAAAAGAATAAATTGCAGTTACCCTTAACTACTTCTGCATGTAACTTTTAAGAATAAGGAATTCTCTTGGATAATCATTGTTGTAATTATCGAATTATTGATGTGGTACTGTTATGTAATAGACAGTTGATATTCTAATTCACTAATTTCCCACTATGATTCTTTCAACAGTTTCTACTCCCTCACCCATCTGGGAACCTATTCAGGCTCATTAATTTCATTTACACATCTCTTCAGTTCTCTTTAATCTGAAACGTTCCTCAGACCTTCTTAGTACTTTTTAAATTAATCATATATTCAGTTAGATACTGTTTGTAACAGAAGGTAATAGGCTTTGCCCACAGAAAATGTAGATTGTGGAATTTACTTTAGCATAGTTTCTAATTATACATAGCTAGTCACATAAATCTGTATAATTATTTCTGATAATCCAAAGAAGGAAACTAAGGAGATACACTGTGGATAATTGAATGTGGGGAGGTTCCTGGAGAGGGCATGGAAGCTCTGCAACCCTTCTTTCACACTTCATTCTATGCATCTTTTCATGTGTATCTTTCATAATACCCTTAGTAATAAACTGGCCAATGTAAAAAAGTACATACATTAATTTTATTGTGTGAGCCATATACTAATTATTTTTAGAACTTTTTTGTTTAAGCTAAAAGAAAGTGCACTCATGTTAACAGTTAATTCATATTGGCATGTCTATGCACCTGTGAGGTTTCATAAGTATACCTGTATCAAGATAGGGGACATATCTCCTACTTTTTTCCACTTCATACCAACTTTTTTCATTCTTCCTCACTGTTTTGACCTATGTCACCATTTTTCAGTTTTGCTTATTCTTGAGCTTCCTTTAAATAGAATTTTGCAACAGGTACTATTGTTTGACTTCTTTGACTTAGTATAATTTCTGTGTGATTTATCTGTGTTGTTGCATATATCACCACTTGGTTCTTTTTATGCTGTGTAGTATTTCAATGTACAAATATATCATAATTCCTTGTGCATTCTTTCATGCATTGCATCATCTCCGCTTTTTGCTATTATGAATAAAACTGCTGTGAATATTCTTATGCATGTCCTTAAAGGGAAATAATTCCTTACTTCTCAAAGCATGGACTTTTGAGTCATAGGGGGGCTGCCGTTCAATTGGTTGTACCAATTTATATTCCTCACAGCAGTGTAGCAGGGTTCCAGCTGCACTATATCCTGGGCTCCACATTAAATTATCAAATTAATATTTTTTTAACAGTGGTATGTCATTGTAGCTTTAATTTGCATTTTCCTGAAGTTTAAGGATATTGAGCATCTTGTCATGTTATTATTTGGAATTTGGATATCCACTTCATTAAGTATGCATTTACATGTTACCCATCTTTTTTTTTTTTTAATCATTGAGTTACTTACATAGTTCATAAATTTGAGTTTCTAGTATTCTGGATATGAACATTTTGTGCCTTCTGGTTTGTGACTTCCCTAATACTGTCTTAGATGAAGAGAAACAATTTCACTATCATTGATCTATAAATTGTTAGGTAATAGAGTCTTAATTATTATAGTATATCTTAACAAGATTGACCAGCTAGTAAAAACTTTTTTGTTTACTTTTAGGGTGAGGGGGTGCTGGGGTCCAGTGCTTTTTGGTTGCTGAGATCATGCTGTCCTGCTGAATTCCACCCCTTGCCCTCAGCCCAATCAAAATGTTTTTATGTTCTGTTTTAAGCAATGGATTAAATCTTAGTTCCAAAGAAAAGGAAGCATCTGATTGGTCTTTTGCTCTGATGGGAATGCTCAGCTTGTGTGAGTCAGGAGATAAAACCACTTGATTGATGACTAATTGTCATGTATATACCAAAAGTTAAGCTTTGAGGAAGTATCCTGTATCACTAAGCATTCAGGATTTTATTCTGGGAAAGATGTGTTGTTTTGATATGTTTGAGTGTCAGCAGTTGACTCTTTGGTGAACTGGGTTCTATATATACCTATAATACCAGTTGTAGATACAGGACAGAAGAACTTTCTTTTTCTCTTCTTTTTTTAATATCATGTATCTATTTCTGTACCCAATCTGTCATTTCCAGAAGTAGTAAGTACAAATAAAGTCTCTCCTTTTCTGAATTTTTTGTCTTTGAAGTAAACAGATTTTAATTTGCCTAACATCTAAAATTGAAATTGTCATCCAAATTTGTTATTTCGAAGTCTTCAAGACAGAGCAGCTTTCAAGTGAGCATATTTAAAAATGAAGTGAGCATAATTAAAATTAAGAACAAAAAAGTGTACCATATTTAAGAGTGTGTCAGTGATAGAAATGACCTTGGTGTTCCACAGTAGCTTAAAATGAGAGTCACAAACCAAACGTTTCTGAGAGAAGTATAGTTGTGCCCTTGCTGAGGCCATGAAAGAGATTTGTGCCTGTATGTATGTTCATAGTTCTTTGTTGAAAGTAGAACAAAGGGGAGTTTTGTCGTCACATATCCATAGTGAGTTGTAGCCATCATAAATGCAAAAGACTTAGATTTTGGAGGTGCAGTAAGAAAGACTTTCATTAATGCAAATATTAATAGAATTTTAAGGCTGAAACTATCATGGTCTTTTAATCAGAGTAAGCATGGTTTCCTTCTTAGGTTGAAGGAAAAGGTGAGGGTTCTATGTAACATTAATTCCTGTGGTTTCCATTTTCATTGTTCTACTGCCCTCCTACTCCACCCTTCCATACAGTCGAAGGCAGTTTTGGAACCATTAATCCAGTTGCTTTTGTCTTTTTCCTTTTTTTCTTGCCAATCACCATGTACATCTTCCCCCCTCCCCCAACTACAGAGAACTTTATTAGATGCACAATAGTTTTCTCAACTATGGTTGAGACATCTTCGCATTTATCATCGTTTAGTTATACTTTCTTAATAATATGTGGTTTGTATATTTTGTATGCACAGATATAAAAAAAATTCACTCATATTTCCTTGGATTCTTTTAGGCTTTGAGAACATGAAATGGTTAATCTGACACATTTTCAAAGTGAAATTTATGGTTTGTAAGGAATATATTTCTTGTATGAAACAAACTAATTCCTTGGTTTCTACATTTGTATTAAACACACTCATGAATTTTAAGTCATTTTATCTCATAAATGGCAGCCCTTTCTTCTCATATCTATTGTTCATTGCTCTTTTTTTGTCTGTTTATATTGCTAATATGATGCATTGTTACATATCTTACCATCGGCTTCCTTTTATTACTCTTATTTTCACTGGGAAAGATTTAATGTATTGACCATAAAGCATGTTACTTTTTGAGGCAATGCCATTAGTAAATGAAGACATGTTCCTACATTTCTAACTTCCTCAGTATATTTATCACAGTATGGTCAAAACATCTCTTGGTTCCATTGGAGTTGTTTTTCTTCTCTTTACATTTTTCCTTTTTTTTTTTAATTGTTGTGTTGGGTAAGTGTACATTGTGGCAGTTAAAAAAGTTCATCTAATGTATCAACCATATCATAGTTATATTCACCTCTTCCATCATTCTCTCTTATACCTCCTCCCCCCATTCCTGGAATAGTTTCAACAGGTATCATTTTTCATTTACATACATGTGCACATAGTGTTTGCACCATATTCACACTCCTACACCCTTTCCCCAGGCAGGACCTGTTCCACCCTCCTGTTTTCCAATTTTGTAAAAGGGGAAAAAAACAGACATTTTTGCTTGTTTAAGATAGCTACACATGGAGCTTCCTTATGGTACTTTCTGTTAACATTTTTGTCTACTCATTTTGTCATGCCTTTTTATGACATTCTCACCATGTACATCTTTCAACCTTAGTATGGTCACATCTGTACTTCTCACACTACTTTTGCATTTGTGCTTCCCACTTCCTCACAAAGCTACTATGTGCACCACTGTGGTTGCAGCTGTATTTTTGGAATCTGTTCGTTTAGGTAAGTCTTCATTGCAATTCAGTTTTCAAAACATGTTTGAAAAATAGCTGGATGTGTACAGGACTTTTTGTCTGAAGCTTGGTATACATTCAGATTTGTGGGCACTGAGTAAAATCTATATACGTGGCCCCTGTAATGTGCTTCCCACAGATTGAGAACCACTGATGTATTCTAATTTCTCCCTTCATTTAAATAGATACAAAACTGAGGCTAAGATTTGTTAAGAGGTTTTCCTTAGTTAGATGTAGTTGAATGGGGACAGAGGTAGAATTAGACCCTGGATCTCCTGACTTCCTGGTTAGTATTGTCAGGCCTTTAATCGCCTAGATATTTATGGATTTTTATCTTTAAAATGTTAATGAACTGGATGCCTAACAGTTAAAATCGAACATTTCATCCACATTTATTGCCAGGTCTTTGAAGAAACTGGTTTTGATATCAAAGACTATATTTGTAAAGATGATTACATTGAACTTCGAATCAATGACCAGCTTGCTCGTTTGTACATCATTCCAGGAATTCCAAAAGACACAAAATTTAACCCAAAAACCAGAAGAGAAATTCGGGTATGTAACATTTGGGAGTATTTGCAGGTTTGCTGTACAGTATCCCATTGGAATAAAGTGGGAAATTCCTTGTAGATACTCTTGTTAAGTAAATGATTTTTTTTCTGTATTTCAGAACATTGAATGGTTTTCCATTGAGAAATTGCCTTGTCATAGAAATGATATGACCCCAAAATCCAAACTTGGTTTGGCACCAAACAAATTTTTTATGGCTATTCCCTTTATTAGGTATGTTCATATTTCTTGATTTATACAACTAACCTTCATGGTTCTGATATTTGAGATTTTAAAAGTGACTTTTTAATGTTCCCATAGACCACTAAGGGACTGGCTTTCTAGAAGATTTGGAGATTCCTCAGACAGTGACAATGGATTTTCCTCAGTTGGCAGCACACCAGCTAAACCCACTGTGGAAAAATTGAGGTAAAGAAATATTCATGAAATTCTGACTTCTGATAATTTTTACTACAGTATTTTAGTACAGTATTTGCTTCTAAAGTTTGCAAAGGCCTAGGATTCTTCTTGATTGATTAATTGTGATACCGGAGTTTGAAGTCAGCGCCTTGCTCTACCTCAGCCCTATAAAATTGCTTTTAAGAGGCACTATTTTGTTACTTGTCTCACATGTAATTGGAATGTTTTTGAAAGGTTTTGGATGAGATGAACAGGGTTAATTGCTGCTAGGAAGGAGTTTTAGGCACATTTTAAAATAGTGCACTCAAGAGAATACCAACTTTTTTGATAGAACAGTAGGAAAAGAAAAAAACTGCAGGTCTTAATAGTGTTGCCTTTATTCTCATATCCTACATTTAAAAGAGATAATTGAGTTTCTGAAGACAGTTAGATAAGAGTGTATTGAGGTCTGTGTTTGTACTGGGGGAAATGAGGAAAGCTGATGAATACCCAAGTTATTCATCAGCTTATTAAAGTCAGAGACAGAACTATGAAGACTTAGGCTTGCCTTTTTCTTTACTTTCCTTAGCATGAATTATGTATTGCAAAGAGTGAGTCTTACATGAATGTGAACATCAAAGAGCATTTACTTGCTTGGGACCTGTTTGTGTATACCAATCATAATTGTACAGTGGACAGGAAGTAACTGTTACATAGGTAGTTAATCTCTGTAATCTGTTTGCTATATATTTGCCTTTGTTAGAGTCAAAGAAATTTTATATTTATTCCAATTTGGATGTTCTGTTTTTACTCTTAGAACTTCAAAATTAAACAATAGGAGTAAATCATATTTACAGTAAATATTTTTAAATTGCTACTATTTTAGTTGGGTTTTATGAGACCAAGAGCTTTAACTAAATAAGAATCATTTCTGCCTTCTAGAATTTGTAATTATAACTACCAAAGTATATACTGAAAGAAGTGAGTACAGAAGAAATAAGGTAGATAGGAATGCAGCCATAATTTAAAAAAAAAACAAACCTGAGAAACAAAGATACTACCTTTTTTTTTTAAACTTACATAAAATAAACCTTTGGGAGAATGGTCCACCATAGTATGTGGTATGATTCCTCTATCTTTTTATACTAGTGTTTGTGTTCCTGTGAATAGGTAAAGAGATGATAAGGCAACCTCTAACCAAATTTCAGGTTTCATGTGAAAGCAGTATTTTATTTTTTAGCATGCACAGTAATGTCTGATGATGTGTTAGAGCAAATGTCTCAGTTTTGTCTAAATAAAGAACAGAAAGACTGAGATTTTATTTTAGGTTTTCAATGGAAAGAAGAACTCCAAAGGATTCTGAAATAATGTTACTATAATGTGATTCTTGGGATCAGTGCTCTGAACTATATTATATATATGTAGATATCACTATGTAATGAGATCTTTTATGTGACAGACTATAGCATGAGTAAGTACAGTCTTTTAGAATAAGATTCTTTTGTATAAGAATTCGAGACTGGATCTCGGGCTGGTGTAGTGGGTCAAGTGGTAGAGTGCCTGCCTAGCAGGCGTGAGGCTGTGAGTTCAAACCCAGTGCTGCCTAAAAAGCAAGGAAGAAAATAGCTTAGTTTCTCAGATCCTCTTCTAACATGGGTAGAGTAACTCTGGGTAACTAACCTATATAGGATCAAATTCCATACTTGAAACATTGTAGTAAGAGTGAGTTGTTTGTTCAGTTAAGAAGAAAAGTCTACTTAGCATTCCTTTGTTGGAGCTAAATTTATAAAGAATTCTTTCTTTAGAGTTTAAAGACTATAATCAGTTATAAGGAGGGAATAGTATGGAGAGTTTAGAAAAGTCTGAAATGAAAAGTAATAGATTATTCATTCAAGAAAAATTTTACTGAAAACCAGTCACTTTTTTGGAGATAAAATAGTAGTCAAAGCAGACCAGAGTCTCTGCCATCATGGAACTTAACATTTCGGTGAGAAGAGATAGGTAATAAATAAGAAAGAAAATGTATATTCTGTAAGTTAAACTATCAAGATGTTCAAAAAACTATAAGTAAAATTTTCTCATCTGATTTTTACTTTTTGAATGTTGGTATAGTCGAACCAAATTCCGCCACAGTCAGCAGCTATTTCCTGAAGGTTCTCCTGGTGACCAGTGGGTAAAGCCCAGGCATCCACTGCAGCAAAAGCCATACAGTAACCATTCTGAAATGTCTGATATTTTAAAAGCAAAGGTGAGTATTATGCATATAAAATTTTTCTGAAACTTAGATTCATAAACACCAGGTAGAATAGCAGTTAAGGCTGGAGATAGATTAGGGAGTTGACTATTTAGTGGGTACAGAGTTTTTGTTTGAATAATTACACAGCTTGGGAAGTAGGATGTAGCTCAGTGGTAAAGTGCTTACCTAGCCTGCACAAGGTAAGGGCTTTGATTTCCCAGCACCACCAATGACAACAATAACAAGAAACAAAAACAGTTTGAGAGGTGCATAATGGTGGTGGTTGCCTAACATTGTGTCCAGTGCCAGTGATTTAAATACTTTAAAGTAGTTGGAGAGATACATTTTATGTGTATGATACCATAATGAAAACTAAATCCTGGAAAAAGCAGAATGATACTGAATTAAAGTGTGTGGTACCATGAGGTTTTCACATTTATTCTACTTTCCCCATCATCATTTTACTTAAATTATTATTTTTTTAATTGGGTAGATGACTGTGCATCTTTTTTTTTTCTTTTTGGTGGTATTGGGGTTTGAACTCAGGGACTCCTGCTTTCTAACCAGGTACTCTACTGCTTGAGCCACTCCACCTTAAATTATTGTTTTCTAGAAATTTTAGCAACTTTTTTTTTTTGTAAGTAGAATGTAAACAATGACTTTTTTTTTTTTTTTTTTTTGTGGTAGTGGAATTTGAACTTGGCCTACACCTTGACCCATTCCACCAGCCCTTTTTTGTGATGGTTTTTTCAAGTTGGGAACTGTTTGCCTGGGCTGGCTTTGGACCGGGATCCTCTCTGCCTCCTGAGTAGCTAGGATTATAGGCACCCGGCTCATTTACATGTTTTTTAAAATCAGTTACTTTACTCACTCACACCTTTTAGCCAGTCCTCTTAGCTGTCTTTTCAAAATCTAAGTACAAATTAATATTTTAAAAGTCAGTGTTTTAAGTTAAGCTTAAAATTTCTTTGTGGGACAATTAAAGCATCTTAGAGCAGCATGGTAGCAAAACTTAAACAGCTGAATGTTCAGAAGGGTTCAAGTTTTTAAAATGTCAGTCTTTATTACTATTTTGTAAAAGGACATTATTCACTTAATGTTTATTTGTTAATAATTTAAAGTAGATTTTCCTGGTAACGATTGTATATACTGACTGTCTTCCACTGGAACTGTGGCCTCTGTGCCCTAGCATTCCCTCAGAGTGGTCCTTTCGGACAGTCATGTAGAGTTTTCAGAACTTGTTTCTCCATCCCCCCCGTTCATTTTTATTTTCATTTTTTTTGTTTCTGGTTTCTTTGGTGGAGGGATGGGGGGTTGGTGCTAGAAATTGAACCCAGGGCCTCACTCATACTAAGCATGAGCTCTACCATTGAACTATATCCCAAAATCTCCTGTATGTATTGTAAACAGTCTAAGAAAAACGGGATAAAGCAAGAGGTAGAGAAAGGTCCTAGGGACCTTTGTACTTACTGTTTCATATTTTGAGGACTATTGCTTTTCAAAACACTAGCTTTTATAAGAAAATACATTGATAAGGTGATTTATGAAAATTTTGATGCCCCTTTGCTGAACTCTTTATTCAAGTAGCTTATAAACATATTCATAGAGACATGTTCTCTGGTGTTAACTGCATTATACTATAGATTTATATTTTGCGTCTTTTTATTGGAAAAGCAGAATCAAAATATGAGGGGAAATGGCAGAAAACAGTATCAAGACTCACCTAATCAAAAGAAAAGAACAAATGGAATCCATAGTCAACCAGCAAAGCAACAAAATTCCTCTATGGTAAGACTTTGAACTCCAGTACTAGATAGACAGTTTAGCCTTTCAGAGTGAAGTGAGGGCATTGTCAAGGCATGTTAATGTTACTTGCTTTGTTCTTTTTTTAATTTGCTACATTGATAGGGTTTTTGTTACAGAACTAAATTGTACACTGTTGTGTTTATGCACTCATTCTCTCTTTGGCCGCTGTTAATTACAGGTTTGTGATGTTGATTCAGGTACAGCTCTAATTTTTGCTTTCTGTATGGTTATTGACATATTTTAAAGCCATGAAAATAATATAGACAGAGTTCTGTAGAGCAATCTCTTGGGTATTTTTCTATATAATCCGTTACTGAAATTCTTAAGTTTATCTTTTAACTGATACATAGAGACATAAAAATTGTACATATTTATGGGGTACTGTGTGATGTTTTGGTACATGTATAATGTATACATTGTATAGTGTTAAATTAGGTGAAATATATCTTACCTCTTCAAACATTTACTTACATTTCTTTACGGTGAAAACATTCAGCCAGCTACGGTGGCACATACCTGTAATTGTAGCACTTGGGAGGCTGAGGCCAGATCATCAGAAGTTCAAGGCTAGCCTATACTCCGTAGGGAGACCCTGTCTAAAAATAAAAGCAAAACATTCAAATGATTTTCTTAAAATCTTTTGAAATGTACATTACATTGTTGTTATTTTAGTCACTCTACTGTGCAAAAGCACACAAGAACTTCTTATTTTACTCTCACTTAGCTACAACGTAGTACTCTTTAATCAATCTCTCCTCATTCTTCTTTCCACCCTACTCTCTCCAGCCTCTGGTAACCACCATTCTACTCTCAGCTTCTTTCTGTGAGATCAACATTCTTGTAATCCATTATTTTAATGAAGTTAAAATTTTAGGAGTGCTTTGTAGTGTTATTTTTTTCCTTCGAGTTGGTAGAATTTAGAAAATTAAAAATAGAGCTTGTAGCCAATAACATTGACATTAGACTACGCTTAAAGACCAATAACTGAACATTTTAAGCTATTTCATTTCACTTGTCTATTTAGTTTGTGCTCCAGAAGGTAATTAATAACTAATAGTGTCCTTGCTTATCTTTTCTGTCAGTCCTAATGCGTGCATGTTGCATTTTCTTTTTGTGGTTTCACCTACTTGTCATTTCTTGCTTTGATGTTCATTTAACTTGGGGTGTAATGACACCACCAGTAAATATTATGTTAATAAGCAGCTTACTCAGTTTACTGTCAGACTTCTTACCCTTTTATTTCACTGTTCCCTGGGGAAAGCATTGATGAGAACAAGGCTTCTAAAAAATTTTTCACATCTCTTTTTAACAAAAGCTAGACAAATACCCCTTACTGATAATATTTTATAAATGTTAACTCCTCAAATTAATACATAAATGTAACTCAATACCATTCAAAATCCTTGAGTTTTTTGGAAAAATTTTTTAAGCAGTTCTTAAATTTGTCTATTCAATAAAAATTTAAGATTAAGGCAAATTTATTGAAAAGAAAGTTAATGATAGCAAGCATATGAACAACTTATATAAGAATTAAAAACTTACTAATAAACATGAAAAATAATTAAGCCATGTGTGTACTGAAAGAATGTAAATTAAAATGGGATAACTTTTCTCCATTAGCTAGGCAAAGATGAAAAGATTGATAATACCAAGTTGTTTATTATTGAGTATATTGGCAAATCAAAAAAAATTAGTAATTGGATGCCAGGTGTAGGTGGCTCATACTTGGATTCCTAGGTGCTTTGGAGGCTAAGATTGGAAGGATCATGGTTTGAGGTCAGTCTGGGCAAACCTCATCTCAGCCTATAGCTGGGTATGGTGTGCACCTGTCTTTCCAGCTATGACAGGAAGTATAAAATAGGAAAATTGTGGTTCAGGCTGCCCTGGGCAAAAAGCAAGACCGTATCTCTAAAATAACCAGAGCAAAAAGGGCTGGAGATGTGGTTCAGTTGTTGAGGGACTGCCTAGTAAGAGTGAAGCCCTGAGTCCAAATTCCAGTACCACGCATTCGATCTCCCCTCCCCCCAAGTTAGTAATTGATACACCTTTTCTAGAAAGGCGTGTTTGCTTATATCAAAAGCCTGAAAAAGTGATTATCTCCTTTCCCTTGAAGGGGAATTTAATGAATACTTTACTACCCCCCCCCTTACTCGTTACAGTAATGACAACATGGAAACAATGTATGTATCCAAGAAGATGACAATAAATGTAGCACTGCAGTACGTAACCATTAAGTCAGTAAAAATCATGATGTAGGTTTGTATTTATTGGAAGTATTTTATTTGCAATATATTGCATTTTAAAAGAGTATAGAAGTGCCGTTGCTGTAGCTCAGTGGAAGGGGGCTGAAGCTCAGTGGAAGAACTCTGCTTGCTTAGCATGTGACAGGCCCTGGGTTTATTCCCTAGCTTTGCAGAAAAAGGGGAGGGGTTATGGAATAGTATTATGTATCCTATAATTCCACTTCAAAGTTACACAATTTATATGAAAATACATTTATGCATGTCTTATAGGGAAAAACGTTGGAAACACTGCAGTGTTAATACTTTTCTCTGGTTGAACTATGTAATGAATTTTTTTTTCTTTCTGGTGTCTCTATGAGGTATTGAATCAGAACCAAAAAAAAAAAAAGTTTTAGGTTTCAAAAACAAACGAAACCCAGTGAGAAAACCTGGCTGGTCATTAGATTACTGGTTTAATTTTCTTCCTGCATTACTTGATAATACATCTCCTAATCAGTGAAAATAACTGGCAACTTGTGTGTTCTTGTGTGTTTTTTAATAGAAATGTGAAAAGAAATTACATCCACGAAAACTTCAGGATAACTTTGAATCAGGCAAGCCATTTTCTGTGCTTATAAAATCTGATTTGTGGGATTTGGTTTGGCTCATTTAGCTCTGATTTTAGTGGAGTATATGACTTAATTGTGACAGTCCTGCAGGAATAGCTCGTATATGTGGGGTTTTAAACAGAGCCTAGCTAAAATGAATTTCATGATCAAGATAAAACTGCCCTTTGAATGTGCTGTTTCTTTTGTGAATATCAAACCTTAGTGCTATAAGTGAGCACTGTAAATAAACAGCTTATGGGCTAGAGGGAGAGTGGAAAGAACCAAGTATTACAAAGGTAAGGAAACCTCATTCTCACAGGTATATAAGAGGAACACATGCTCTACTTTTCTCTCAGGTAATGAGAGCATCGTTTTAAGGTGGCATTAATGGTAGTTTTTATTAAAGTGATGGGATTGCTCCTCAATTATGAAAGGTAGGTATTTCTAATTTGGAAATTGATCCTAAAGAATGGAGAAAGTTCTTTAGTAGTATTGATTTAATAATTGTCACTTGGAAGTGCAGTACACTATTTTTTCCTAGATGCTATTTTGAATTAAGTCTTTAATCTAGTTGAGGTTCATTTATGTGTATGATACAAGGGTGTACTTTCTTTTCCATGTTGATTCTCAGTTTTTCCTAGTACTGTTTGTTGATGAGTCTCATCCTTTACATTAAGAGTTTAGTATAGGGAAGTTTTGAAGGTAGAAGTTCTCTTAATAAGATTTCTTTGGCCACTTTGGGTGATAGGCTGATATTAAATCTAAATAACATACGTCCAGTAGTTAACCCTTTTAAAAAAAATCCATGTTCAGGACCATTACAGAGGGTACACTTTGTGTTAGGGGGGTGTGAAATGGATATATAAAATTTATTGAGGAAGAAGCATCAAAGAATTCTTGTGCTGGGAACACTTACTTCACACTTACTTCTGCCTCAGCTTCTTGGTGTCCATTTCAAATCTTTTCCTGGTTAGGTCCCTGCTCTGATGTATTTTTTTTTTTTTTTTTTTTTTTTAAGGTCCAGACAAATTGGAGTTTTGTTGTACTATGTTTGGGTGTTTTCTTTTAGTTTGGTATATTGAAAACTTAGTAAATTTCAACTTTATTTTTCTATAATGGTAATCTTTACCATTTTTCCAGTGTAATTGTGATTTTTCACAGTGCTTTCATTTTGACCTGTCAAGAAGCTCCTAATATTTTGGCACAAGATACTAAATTAAGAGGTAAAATTATGCCCATTTTGAAAGCAAGCGATTATGAAGGTTCTTAAAGTAAAGGCTACGGTTAAGCTTTTGACTGTTCATGTAGAAATAAGCAATAGTAGATTAGAAATTCAGTTGAGCACGGGATGAGGGGAAGAAAAATACCTTGATGGTTTTACTTTAGGTTTTGATTTAATGTGGAAAGGTAAGCATATGCTCCATTAATGTCTTTATAACACAAGGTATAAAGGACACTCTTTGGTTTCTTACACTCATTGACTGTGTTTTGTTTTCCAAGCAGATGCTGTGTATGACTTGCCTTGTTCCGGTGAAGACGGATCACTAGAACTTGCCGAGGGACACTCTGGGCCATGTAATGGACACTGCAGGTTCCCTTTTTCATCCAGAGCCTTTTTGAGTTTCAAGTTTGACCATAATGCTATAATGAAGATCTTGGACCTTTAATAGCAACAGATGTATTGCAGAAGTCACAAGATCAGAATCCTGTTGCATTTGAGTGGGTGTCTCCTCAAGCCTTACCTTTCTCAGGTGTTTCAAAGAAATGCAGGGAGGCATTGTTTCTGAAGAGATTTTCTGTGCAGAAGAGAAAGTAGAAAGAAACACAAGTTTGCACTGTAAATGCAGTTAAACCTTTTATACAGATTTACCTTTTCAGTGTTTGGAACCAAGGTTTAAGTTGCTTCTTTTCTTTAGAGGGCATTTATTCTGTGTGACTGTGCGTATTATTTTGTATTCTGGTCAAGAAAATAGTGTTTTGAGTCATCAGCTAGTAGCCGAATGAGTGGAATTGCATCATCTCCCCATTTAGTGATTGCAATTATAGTTTATCTACATTGGAATTTTAAAAAGAAACTTTAGACACCAAGTTAGCGAGCATCAAAGCTGACAAGACTGTCAAGATTTCAGGTCATCTGTTGTGGTGCCATTTTGCTCATTTTTCTTCTTCTAATCACTGAGACTACAGCACCTGCTCTGCTTGGAGTTGTATTGAGAGGATTCATTTAGAGCCAGCATCTGCAATGTAATATTCATGTGTAAAATGAACTCTTAGCACTTCAGAAGGACAAAGTTTGCAGCCTGGAGAGGAATCAAGTTGGTGGGGAGTTGGAGCTCTAATTTTGAGTTGTGCCTCATGGCAGAGAGTTGAGTGCTGGAGCAGGGAGCATAGAGGTCTAGACTTTGGGTCATGTGTTTACCATCCTGCCTCCAACCCTTTAGTATTATACAATAATTTTGGTCATGTGAAATTTTCGTACATATTCCAGTTGTGTAAATATGTATGGAAAACTGACATTGCCTCTCAGTGTTGATCTGTGGAAACTGGTGTTAAATTAGGTTCCAGTTTGCAGTAGTAGCAATGTGACATGCTTTTATTGGCATCCTGAAATCCCTGGATTATGGTGTCAGAAAGGTAGTGCTGTGCAGTTTAACCAAGTGCAAATAAAGCATTTCACTAGGAGAGGATCAGGCTCTAAGCGTAACATACTTAACTCATGCCTAGGAATGTATTTTGTTCCTTCAGGATTCTTAAGTTCAAATAAGGAAGGCAGTGCCCATTTTAAGAAGTATTTCACCTATAATTGAGGACAATCACTGGAGCTTTAAGGAGGCAATACTGTTTTGGCTGCATCTGACCTCATTGGAGCTATTTCTTAGAGGTGGGGATAGAGGAATGTTTGAGTATATGTGTACATCTGCTTATGTCATGTGGATTTTCAAAGTCTTTTTTTTTTTTTTTAAACAAGTGATAATCCACAAAGTATATCTCTGCTTATAAATGTTACTATAGAAATCTTTATTCTGTATAGGTAGCCTATTTAATAGGGGATCTACTTAACTCCATGGGACTTTTAAAAAAAGAGCTATTTTAAGGAATTTACTTGGTATTACTGCTTTGCTTTAGCTTTTAAATACCTTGATTTTAAAGGAGAAATTCTATTTATTAATGAAAGTGTCATTTGGTGCTAAGCAGAAGAATCCACAGTTACAGCTGGGTGTTTAGAATTAGTTTATCCAGCATCCTTTTTTTTTTTTTTAATGTGACTGATTTGTGAATCCTTCTGTGATCTTTGCTTTTTGATGCATTATATGATTGCATTTGGAAGCCCTTACTGTTCTTTTCAGAAATACAGCTGCTTGCTCAGGTCTCCTTGAGCCATATTTATAGTTGGTCCCAGCATTCCAGATTTCTCTTAAATGGTTAAGGGAGTAAAAACTTACTGTGCCAGGCAGATGAATCATTTTCACTCACTGTCATCTGGAAACCATTTAATTTTTAGTGTGTGTTTGTTCATTTTTTTCTTTTTAAACAAGTACTTTGGTCAGTCTTTCTGGTGCCTATGGAGGTAGATTTTTCCAGCTCTCACTACTTAAGCAAAAGAGATTAGGGTTAGTTACAAGAAGGTATGACCTCTATTGTAGTTGAGATTTTGAACAAACAAATTATCTTTTTAATTACAACAGTTATTGCTGTTGTGCTGCTTCATTTAATGCACTGTGGAACAAAACAAAGGTGTGGATGGGATGTGATTATAATGTGAGGCTTTTAGCATTCAACAAGTTGAGGTTAAAAACATGAAAGGTGAGTTAAAATTTGTTTGTATGATGTGACTTAACTATGCAGAAAATGTTTAATTCGAATGTACCTGTTTTGTGTACTTCTGTTGTGTAACATCTCTCAGTGTTCAGGTTTCGAGAGAGAAGCCATGCTTTACAGGACTAGATTGTTTAAATACTCGAGCATGGTTTGAGGAAATCTGATGATAAAGAAGTATGCTGATATGCAATAATATACTTCCATTGCTGCATTTTTAAGAAGCTATATGAGAACAGTAGTTGTGTTGTCTTCATTTTGTTTTATGTGTTTGAGAGGTAGGTCTTAGAATTCACTTTTAAATGTTTTTATGTTCCAACCATGTGTGTTCCAAGGTGCAGTGCACTGTGAATCTTTTTTTTTTTTTAATTTTTTAGGTGCTTTTATGTATAACTTTAATGATTCATAGGATATTAAATGAATTGTTTTTTGTACTTAACCATTGTAGTCCAAAAGATATGGGTACAGTTTACATGCTTTTCATAAGTTTTTTTGTTAAGAAATAGCAAATGAATGAGTATAGAATTTCAAATAGTGATGCCCTCCTGAAACATGACCATTTGGAGAGGTCTGACAACCTAGTAAATCTCTGTTAGCTTGGGTGAAATTTGGTTAACCATGTTGGAAAATTTAAGTTCTATTTTTGTAGTAATATATAAAGAACAAGTCTCCCAGTACTGTCAAAAGGAATTGTGGTCACTACTTGGTGTTTTGAGCTTTGAATATCATTGTTTTTGTATTAAATATTAATTAGTAAATACAGATAATGAAGATATATAACATTAATTTTATGCTATAGATTGGGTTGTACTTTTTCTTTTGAAGGCATTAATAATTTGTGGGTAATGTCAAAAAGAACTCAAATCTAAGTGAATGACATACTTTCACTATAGGAATTAAATTTAACTGTGTTTTCTAGAAAAGTTAAGGTTTGAGTGCCTGTGTACATTAAAATCATTTAATTATCAATTCCCTTAATTATCCTCTCCCCCCCAATATCTAGTTGAATAGTACGAAAGCAAAAATCAATTAAAAATTAGCCTTTTTGCCAAGTTGTTTTTCTTGGCTTTTTGTCTTTATCCCAGTGCACCTCCCTGCTCATAGATTTTGTTTTGATGTCTGTTATGTCTTTATATTCTCTGAAGCAGTATTTTCTTTATGTATTAATCATAGTTACAGTCATTAACACTCCTTCATGGTTTTGGCTTAGATAATTTTCTAGCCTTTGGGAAGGGGTTCGTATGTATTATTGTAAGTTTAAATTGATGTTAAGTAAAGCAAACCATTATTTTGTCTGACTATATCCTTTAACTTTATGTACCTGACTCTAGGTAAACAATGTTAGTAAAACAATAGTTTGTTAAACCTTATTCCTGAAAGCCTTGTAAAGCCTAGGTAGTTTCTAATTTTTTTTTGTCCTGAGACTGTAAAGTACATTTGTATAGTTGCCAAAAATTCTAAAAATGAGTTTATGATGAGCCTTCTGAGCATCTTTTTTCTTCTTAGACTTGAATTACTCTTGAAGCCTGTGCTCCTGTGTCAGAGGTGGTGGATTGGAAATGGGCTTTGTCCCATACGTTCAAAGTAGACTTCTGCATTGCAGCTTCAAACTGCAGTGTAAGATAAATTATTACAGAACAAAAGTGCACTGAGAAGAGAACATAGCTATAGTTGCTGGGCAAAAAGTATAAGGAGATTTTGGAAGATACTTGAGCACTACAGGATGTACCAGGTTAGAAATGTGATCATTGCCTAGCCTAAGCATAGTCTAATGTGTGTGTGTGTGTATATCTATATCCATTGCCAAGCATTTTCTAGCCTTGAATAAAGTTATTTTTTTTTTCTTAGTATGATTGCCAAGCAATCCAGTGAATCTAAAGTAATTTTTCTCACTTTAAAGGCCAGTGTTTTGGAGTCTGATCCTTCCTAGGCTGATTCTGCAGAGTTCCAGCCACTCTGAAGTCACTAGTTTCTTACAGGAAGATAATCCAGACAGAGTACACACAACTTCAGTTAACTATGTGTGGTAGCTATACATTTGTCTTGAATGGTGATTCATTTCTTACCAGCTTGTTTCCTTGTGACAAACAGTATTTATTATTGAAATAGAAGTGTATAGCTAGGGAAAAGTAAAGCCAACTCTGATGTATAGGAGTACACTTGAAGGGTTGGCTTCCACCATCTGAGTAGTTCAGACTTTAACATAAAGTACAAAGACATATACAGGAAAAAAATCTATGATACAGTATAGGGGTCATGTCTTGAGAAGTGTTCCCAGTGAAATTTCTAATCTGGGGCCCCAGATTGATAATATCACCAGTAAAGAGGTTCCATTTATTCTGGGTCTTCCGTGATGTATAGTAGCTTTTTGCAAGCACAAAGTAAAAGGAATTAACCTGCACAAGGTGCTATGTTAGCTGAGTAGTGTTGGTCGGGGTGCTCTGGGGACGGCTCCTGGATGCAAAAGCAATTTCAGGATGTGCGTGTGTGACTTCGTCTCCTCTTTGTGGGTGTTAGTTCTCTAGTCCAGTAGAACATTAACACCTTGGAAATAAATTTTGCTGCACAGAGTTGGGTGGAATTGGTTTTTTTCTTTGTTTGTTTTGATTTTTGCTTATTGGCCAGTCTGTTGAGTGACATTTTTTAAGACTTTTTGTTTAATTCTTTTTGTTGCTGCAACTCTGGCCAAGAAGCAGCCATGAAGTTGCTGTCTTTGTCTTTGTTTCTTTCTTGATTTGACCTTCTGTGAAATAATCTTTTTGTTTGTGATACATCCCTGTGTCAAGTTTGCCACTGTTAGAATTTGTAAGTAGTCATTATATTTTTCTTTCTGGAGAAAGTGACTTCACTTTGACCCCTAGGCCGCAAGCAGATGGGAGGGCTGTGAATACCTGTGCTTTTTTCAGTCTCAATGAATGTTGTTGTCTGGTGTCAGAACAAAAAGAAAATTGTGGCTCTAGGATGAAATGGCAGAATTTGCTGGTCCTCTATTGTCTTTTAGAGGTCTTTGGGTAGCATTCTTAGGATAGTGGACTTTTTGAGGTAGCTTTGAATCAGTAGAATCCAAGGTTCTAAAACAATCTATAGCCACAAATTGTGATGAAGCATTTGCGGTACAACTTTGCATTGTTTATCAGCTCTCAAGCTTAAAAAGTGGCAATATACTTTTGTGATATACGGAATAACGATAGGTGAGCAAATGAAAACAAACTAAAGTTTCACAACTGAGTGGAAATTTGAGAGGTAATACCTATTTCCGGGCAGTTGGCTGATTAGTATGTGTTAGTGCTTTTGGAATGTATGAGTATCAGCAAACCTGCATTCTTCCATGCACTGTTATGTGTGGCGAAGCACTGATAGCAAAGCACAGGGACACACACACTGTCTGCAGCACTGCTGTTCTCCGCGTGTTCATTCAGGGTTGTGTGTTTGGATGTTGCACAAGGCACTATTTAATGTCAAATGCAGGTGTCCAAAGAAAGTGGGCCTTTTACTTTTGTTGTATAATTAGGATAGGACGAGACTTAACCTAACTTTCACATTTATAAGGTATTACAACTTTTTTCAGTAAATAAGTAAGGAGGGACAAAAAACCATGAACAATTTATTTTGCTTTAGTAAAGTTTTCTTAAAATTATATTGAAGTTTGCTTATTATTTTTAAAACCTTATACTTTTTAGAAATCTTTGATAAGTATTGACTCATCCTATCTACTCAGATTTAATTTAACCCTTGGCTTTAATGAACTTTGAAACCAATCTTATTTTAGAATGATTAACCAATGTTTAGCTAACTTAAGTGAAGTATCTTTTAAGCAAGATTGTCTTTCATCTAGCCAAAATAGAATATTACAGTTTAGTTTGGTGGCAAAGGGAAGAAGAATTGCTTTTTTTTAATACGCACTATTTCTCAAAACAAGATTCATAGTGGCTTTTTATATTATGCTAGATGTCCATGGAATATAGGCAGTCTTAAAGATTCTTCTGGGGAATAAGTTTTAATCTGAAAAAGCAAAGAAAAATGTAGTGTGTCATGGTAAGCAAGTTACTTTGATTTGGGACTATAAAAGCTGGTAGACAAAAATTGATGAAATAGTCTCACTGTCTGATACTCAGTGAGAAAACTGGATAACCACATGCGAGAACTAAATTTGTAAACTTTATTTCTTCAGCAGTCATTTGCCTTATGTGAAATGATTTAACTTTTTTTTTTGCTGATTGTAGCAGTGTTTTATTACTTTACCTTGTAGTGCATTTTAGTGTTTAGAGAAGGAAGGATTGTAAGTAAACCTGTAAGTGATTCTGTCTATGATAGTAATGAAGTTCTTGCTGGGGTCTTTTGGTCAGAATTTAGGATAAGTTGAAAAGTAACCCAAAAATACCTGTTGGGTTCATTGTTGTAGTTACAAAGAATCAAAACCTTTAGAGCAGATCTGTCATTTCTGGATTATATTGTGGTTCGACAACGGTTTTGTCTTTTTCCCTCCATGCTAATAAAAAAATAAGGATTTTCACTTACTAAGTGTAACTTGTCATAAATAAATGCTTTCCAGCCACTCATGCTTGTGAATTGGAATTTGAGTGTTTGCCAGGAGCATTGCACTTCCAAAGATGTGGAGACTCAGCTCTACTCTCCACTGACAAATAAACCAAGCTTCTAACTTTTTGAAAGCTTTTTGATGTAAACACCAATTTAGAAACTGAAAACCTCTTACCTTGAAAAATATAATTATGGTGATTGTAGGTTGCTCAAATACTGGCTTTCTGTAAAAACATTGCTGTGTTATATTCTGAGTATTTGTGATGCAACACTAATAAAACTGGCTGCTTGGGCAGTTTTAGTTACTAATTTAACCTTGTTTCTGAGTTACTGATATTTTGGTTGTTATTCATTGGACCCAGGAAATGTGCTGAATACGAAACAAGTTACATTTAATTTATACAACAGGAAGAACTAATAAGTAGAGTGTCTCTGCAAAAATAAAATGGAGAACTGTCAAGCAGTATCGTGGAGGGCTTGAGATATGAACTAGAGACTAAATTCAGCAATTCACAAATTTGAGCTTTCCAGTAGAATGCTTGATTGTCCTTCAATGTCAGGGAAGGACATACGTTCTTTCATAGATGTCATCTATATGAGGCGAAGGCATTTTGCTCTTATTATTAAAGTTCCTTTACCATAGTGGAAAAAAATTGGCATTTTGGACATTTCTCTGATAGACATGTTGCAAGGCTGCTTGTCATTGTACTTCCAGTTCTTTGTTATATTCCCTATCTCATTAGTCTCTAATAAGGCAGTAATCCTTTAGGAGGTAGCTTCTCATTTATGCCAAAGAAAAATTGGTAAATGAGGGTTTCTTTGGCTGTTGGTGGCTTGCTATAGTATAGTCTTAATTCTAGCTCCTGTTTTGATGACAGCTCTCAATTTCATGCAAGCACCTTGGGCTTGAGATGTTCACAGATGACAGTTTACAGAAGGACAGCCTTACTTTTTAATTTAAACAAACTAACACGGAATTAGAAATATTTATTCAGAATATAAGAATGTTTGTAAAATATTATAAATGTCTCTGTATAAATAAATGGAGTTTTTAAAAAACAATCCTATATCAAGTAACACAAAGTAGCTATTTTACAGCAGCTAAAACTAAAGGCATCTGGAAACATTTAAAGCATACAAGTGAAGAATCAAAAAATTACAAGGTATAGTACAGTGTTAAGTAGCAACATTAAAATATTAAGACTTGGAATACAGACAGCAGAACAGTACTGACAGATGCACTCAGTCACATGTGCTTTGTAATGGGCGGTGCGTTCAAGCAGGGTTTCTCATCAGGTGGCATAAAGATAAGTTTCATGCGAAGTGAGCGAGTCCTGACAGGTGCCTAAGAACTGACTGGAAACAGTAAAGTGAACACGCTTCACGATCTTTGCTTTACGTTTGAGCAAAGGTAGATGATGGGGGCTCTCATTTACCTGGCAGCCCTGACATGAGCACTATTCAGTATGCTAGGAGTTCTACAGACAGAACATTTTCTTACATGGAATTGATTTGGGGAAAGTGCAAAAGTGTATAGTAGAACTGTTTAAGCAGGGCATTCATGTGAATGTGGGGGAATTCTGTATTTAACTTGCCCTGTCCTGCTGAGCTGATAGCTCAGGTGATGTGAGGATAAGTGGCTTTGGGAAGATAGTACTGCTAGCCAGGGATGCTGCTATGCAACAGCAGTTGTCATTTTGGTACTGATTTTTTTTGTTTGTTTTGTACACATGCAAAATCTTCCATAGTGATTTTTAATTCAGAATAACTTACCCAAAAGTGTAGTGCTTGTCTGTGTATGAAATTTCCCTCTACACAGTGTTAGCACAAACAAGATTATGCAAGTGGCTGTCACTCAGCTTTTGTGTCCTTTGACATTTGTTTAGATTTCGTAGTTGCTGATTGCTCAGTGATGCTGTGGTGATAGTAGTCGGCAGTGATAATCTGGTTCCAATTCTAAAGTTAGTTTGTGGCAGCAAAGAAAGGTCTCTTAGTGAATAATGAAAAAGTAACTTGAAGTGTGTGAAACAGGTACTTCAGAAGACCACAGGTTTCAATTATAGGTAAACTTTAAGAACGTCTTTTTTTTTTTTTTTTTGGAGCAAGCATTATTAGTCTTGTCTAGATAGGTTGTTCCATTGGATGAATGAAAAAATCTTTTCTCCCTAAGTTTTACATACTGTTCTACAAAGCTGTTATGTATTGCAGAAAAAATGTTACTTATACTCTTATACCCCCTCCCCCTGCGCCAAAAAGAAAAAAAAAAAAAATCAGAAGTCTCTCTGGTTCCAAACACTTTATAACCATATTTCTATTTGCTGTACCTAGAAGTAAAGCTGTAAATTTAGCAGGCATAATATTTTCACTTAAAACAGTTCATAAAATGAGTGGGATGTACTCTGAATTAGGCATTATCAAATCATCCAGAGCTTAATGGAGGAAAATACATCTTCAGATGTCAATAATAAAAGTCGGGGTGAGGTTTTTTTTGTTTTGTTTTTTTGTAGTCTTGATGTCTTTCTCATCAGTTCATTTAAAACATGAGCACAATACCCTCAACTCTTAGGTAATTGACAGAATTCAAAAATAATTGCAGTATAAATTTTATGGTTCATGGGAAACCTCTTTAGAAGGAAATAAGCAGCTCTGGGGCATTTTTTAAATTTAAGGTAGTGTAGGAACTGATTAATAGTTTCACATTATCTGTAGAGTGGTAATCCTTACTACCCTGATCCTACCAGTTTTTAGGGAAAAAGCCTTAGGCTCTAACTTAGACTGCTATTCTGGAATAGAGTAACAAGGTTTTAATTTAGAGTTCTTAGAGATCTCTATAAAATATTGTTGCGGGCTCAGAAGAAGATTTACTAAAAAGGACATGCATCTGGAGAATTAAGCAGTTTGGTTAAAAAAAAAAATTAAGTGCCAGTTAAACCTAACATTCCAGTTTCAGGCAGCATGTTAACTTCAGAATCTTGACAGCAGTAGATGAGAGTGAATATAAGACAGGCAATGATAAGACATGTAGTGTACATCTGGACCTAGAGCATCGGAGGCAGGGACACCGAGATTAATCTCAACTGTCTGAGCTCACAAGTTCAGAAAGGAATGTTTCTCAATGCCCACAAGTTCAGGGCAGCTTTGGCAGCTAATACACAGGGGTTGGGCAAAGTATCAGGTCTAGCTGGGAGGCTTCACACATCAGTAGCAGGTCACCATGCAACAGAAGTCTCTTTTACCTGTGATTTCTGTCGTGCTAGTTGATTTTGTTTGCCTCAACTCTATAGGAGGTACACTCCAAGGGAATTATGAATTTGGTCCTTCTGCACTCATCTCTCCAATGAGCCAGACAGAGAGGGAAACTGTCTAAAAGGGGCAACCACTGAAGGAACAGGCAAAAACAACATGAAAAGGTTTTAAACCTCTTTTGATTAAAATCAAAATCATTTACCCCTCAATGGAGATGTTAACATAAACCAGCCCCTATTTAGAGAAAAATTCATGTAGAAGCCAGGTTTTGCAAAAAGGACAATTTTCTAGGCACCTGCAATCATTCTGTGCAGTTCACTAGCTCCCACAATTAGCATAACCAAGCACCTGCTACTTCACCTTCAATCAAAATTGTTTCTTAAGGAGTATTTGAAAATTATAAGGAAATCAACTATTATATAGCTTCTTTATTCTACATATTTATCAGTGTGACACTTCTGCCTGGCAAATAGCTTTCACCTACTCATCACATACTTTGAAGTATAAACTCAGATTAAGGCCAGGTAGGATGAATACTGCTGGAGCCCATGACAGAAGAGTTCAGGCCTGGCCTTTCTGGAGGAACATCAGGGCTAAGTGTGTATTCTCTGAATTTACCTGAAGCAAGAGTGGAGGCAGAGGTCAGCAGATAGGATGTTATTCCTGCTTGGGCCACATTTTTTCACTGTTGATAGATAGGAAAACTGTCCATTTTGATGCCTGTTCAATCACAAGAGAAAGCCATACACATTCCAGATTTGCTCAAGGGAGGATATTTCCCAAGGCAAGCTGGAAAAAAATGATGAAAACTGATTTCACCTACTAGGCCTTTTTTATGTGACAAATGCAACTTTTTCCAAGGAGTGAAAAATTGATTTTAAAAAATTTAAAGAAACTAACTTTGACTAAGTGAGGGATAGAAACAGTAACCAAAGCACCCAAAGGCTTCTCCTTCCAGATGCATACCAATTTTTTGTAATGAGCAGCTTTACTACTGATCTAAGAGAGAAGGGTTGTTGCTTTCAGGGTAGAACCATCTGTCCTAGGCAAAAGCTTGAATGCCCTTTCCTGTTGCTCAGGCTCTGAGGAACTGGTATCCTTATCTCTGACAATACTCCATAGCTCATGGGCAGGAAGATTGTGCTGTGATCTGGTTATGAGCACAGAAACTTCTTTTTTTTTTTTTGGTGGTTTGAACTCAGGGCCTCACTCCACCAGCCCCCAAAACTTCAGTTTATAGTTAACTGTGGCATTTGAACCCATTTCTCACAAGGGACTTGGGTGGTGCCTTGGGGGCTACAAAAAAAAGCAAGTGGTGCTTTAATTTTCTCACTGTAGAACTGAAAAATCAAAAAGGCTATGATGAAAAGGAATTTAAGGAGATGAAGACCTGTCTGAAAGAATTCAGGTAATTAGGTCTTGCCCTGTCAGCATTTTGCCTGAAATAGAACTTTTTAATAAAAGTACCATATGCTAATCATCACCATGTATCTGAGAAGGAAAAAAAGCAGAAGCTTGAAAGCAGGGGCCACTGGACTGGGGGTTCAAATAACACCTTCATTAGTAGAAACTGTTCTTGCAAAACAGTGATAAGGCACAGCCTCTTGCCCTTAAAGAGATAGAGACAAGCCCAGAGCTACAAACAGACTTGTGTGGATGAGTTGTGATTCATCAGAACAGCAATGGTGGAGTTGCCCCGAGGCTTGGGGGAAGAGCTAATACTGTTTCTTGGCTCTGGAAGAAACTGTGATAAAATTCTAGTTCCACTATATGTGTCAAACGGATTCTCGGCTCTTTTAAGTCTTGGCTACTAATAAGGGTCTGCTGGGAGAGAAAAAAAAAAAAAAAAATCCCAGAGTGACAGTGGTGCTCCCTTCTAGCCCTGCCTCCAAAATGAAAGTGGAGGATTTTTTTTTTTTTTTTTTTTTTTTAAAGTATAGAATGGTCCAGGCACAGCCTTGGTGTTGCTCTTCTTGTAACTTCAGTATGTCTGGAACTTTTAAGTGACACCTGTGTACCATCATCCTGGAGTCTGACAAGCACCTCCGTGGGACAGCCTGTATCTCAGAGTTGGTAACGTGGGTCCTGACAATCAAAAGCCTTGTTGTAGTAAGCAGATCAGCAGTCCTGATGCTGAATACACACTTAGACTCCTGTGTGGGGGAGGAGGAGAGAAGAGCAACTAGGGGTGGCAAGAGATAAGCCCTGTGTACAAAAAGGAGAAGACCCAGAAATCTTCAAAAAAAGATTTTTGGTGCCTGGGATCCCACGGATATACAGGAAAGGTGGGAGAGTAAGAAAGTTGAGTGGTGGAAGCAGAAGCAAAACACTTCTGAGCTAAGAGCCTACATCTAGGCTCTTTCCGTGGGCCCAGGAGAAGAGGAGCAGGATCCTGCATGCATAGTCCATGTGGGCAGGGTCTGTGACCCTCTACTGTCCACAGGTGCGGACCTACCTGCCACCCTTCCCTTTTCTCTTCCTCCTCCCAACAGGTACTCTGTCCTTGGAGCCCTTGTCTCCTGTGTTTTCCACTGTGAGCTTTGAAACTGCTAGAGTTAAACCCAGAGGGTCAGAACTTTGATGCCTGAGTGCCAATTAAAGTGAAGTTTCATTGGTGTGCGGCCTGGAGTTCTCCTCCTCCAGCAGAGCTATTCTTTGCTTGAGCATCCTCACTTGGGTCTCATGTCTCTCCACCATGGCCATCATCTGAGACTCCAACTTCTTCAGCTTGTTTTGATGTTTCTTCTTTGCTTTCTCATAGGCAGCTACCAGGTTGCTGTGTGGGAACAGAGGGAAATGAAAGTGAGGATCTTATAAAATAGCGTGAGACACTTATGTCCTGTCCACTGGTGGGTGGCTGGGTCTCATGAGCTCTGTCCTGCACAGAGAGCAGTCATCCAGCCTTTTCTAAAGGATTTGAAAAGCAAGTGTTTGGAAGAAGCACAGCACTAGAATGTCAAGTAGTGGAACCCTAGCCAACCAGCAACCCAAACTGGCCAGATCCCAAAGAAACAGAAAAGGTAGTTAACTATAAAAACCTGTCACTGAAGGCTGTGGAAGTTACAGGGAACATTCCCAAGGCCCTGTGGTGGGAATGATCTCACCTAGAGTGAGGGCAGAGGGGCTCTTCCTGCTCCAGCTTCCCTTTATGCTTTGGGCTAGAGGAATTCAGAGCACTCAGTTGGGCCATAAGGAAATACTGGCTGCTGAACACAGACCTCTGACTCACCCTCTCTCCACAGCCCCAGGAGTGAGGCAGGGAGGGAACGCAGTTAAGTCCAGGCACAAAGTCTAAAACAGTGCCCTAAGTCCCTTCTGTGTATGCCCATGTTACCCTACAGGTGTGGTTAAGTGTGGTCAGAGGACTGATCCCTGGGGATTCCTAAAGTCTGTGAGCGCTTGACCTTTTCTTTTCACTTCCACATCTGCATGAAGCTGGGTTTTCTCTATATACTTCAAAATAGTATGTTGACTGTAAATGCACATGCAAGAAACCAGCTGTTTTCTGTTACTCCACACAGATTACAAAACTATAAAATGCTACTGTTCTAATTTTTTTGGAAAGTATTTTTATTTTCATAAAATGCCTTTTTTTGTTGCTTTTTAAGTTTTTTCTTTGGTGGGGGGTTACCGGGATTTGAACTCCGGGCTTCACACTTGCGAGGCTAGTGGCTTGAGCCACTCTGTGAGCCCATGGATTTGCTTTTGTAAATGAATTAATAAAAACTTCAAGAAGTTCGTCTGAGTTTTCATTTGTGATGAGAAGTGTGAAGGGGTCATGAGCCCAAAACTCTCAGAGTAGTCTTAAGTGTTGCTGAAATAAATGACGGCACAGTCCATTCTGTTTGTAAAATATTACCTTAAATACAATTGAAGAGATTTTTTATTGTATATGACTTCTCAGAAGTCATGATTTCCATATGAAATTCCAAGAGGAGACCACAGTGTGCTGCATTTTTCAAGTACATTTGGCCAAAGGACATACTTCACTGAGCATTTCTCAGGTTTCTGGTGAGCCCTTGTGGGCTGCTGCTGCCACCTTGAAGACTCTCCATTTAACCACAGGTGCTTACGGGGAGGTACAAACAGATCCTCCTCAAGCCCTGTCCACAGAAGTTAATGAATATAGGGGTATTTTTACCTGTTGGCCCGCTTTAGATCATTAACAAACTCTGCTGATTGTTGATGTCGGATTTCACTGCTCTTGGTCAGTCTTTCCAAGGCACTCACCAGCTCTTGAACTCTGGTCTTCAACTTCTTTTCTCTGAATCAAGGAGAAACAAGTTGAGATGAGTTGCAACTTGTGTGGCTGTGGCCGTGGGAAGGAGGCAGGTATAGCTTGCAGAGTCAAAGAAAGTAAGGATCTGGAGGGCTTGGAGCCCAGCTTTCCTGCTCAGCAGAGCCAGAATGAACACAATGCTTCCTCTACGTACCAAAGGCTGATAGGAGATCCTTAGAGATCTTACATGTCACAAAGAAACAAAACAGGAATTTCTGCTACTGGCTTAGCAGGTCCTCAGCCATGAAGGCAGCCTGACCACAAGCCCACCTCAGCCTGCACAAACTGCTCAAGGATTCAAGAACAAAATCCTCTGTCAGCCTGGGAAGCTACCTGGACTAATCCCTACTCACAGAAAAAGTAGATCTACCTATAAACAAAAAAGTGGTAATGAAAAACAGCAGAAATGGCATTCTTTCATTTTAAAAGCCCTGTTTCCCATTATTTAAGTGCTAAAGAACTTCAGGTTCCAGAGGCTGCCAGCTAACTGAGAGGAGGCAGTTTGTACAAGAGTACAAACCCAGGCAGGCAAACATCAGGTAGTGCCTTCCCTGAAGTGCTGTGCATAAAATACTTGCCCCACTTAGCACAGCCTGTCCATACTACTTGATTCCCAAGTGTATCCCCAGCAGTATGCCTTTGTGACAAGTGTCCAGAGTTGCTTCAGAGCAACTGACTAAAATATTTTTGGAACTTTTTCAAGAAGCCAGGATTTGGGGAGGAATTCCTTTAAAAGGGACTGAGTAGGAGGAGTACAAATCAGCCTGATAAGAGTTTCTGTGCCACCTGGTGGTAGCAAAATACCTCAAAACAAACATCCCTTGGCTGAGCAATTTTTCTTACAGAAAACGTGAAATCAGATCACCTCAGTTGTAGAAACAAGAATGGATAACACCGGGGGCGAGGGGGGGGGCTACTAAAAACCTGCTTAAAAACACACTGACATGTCAGCATGGGAGGGCACCTCGTGCATTAGGTGAAGTGTGATATACAGAATACCATTTTGTACAGGTGACCAGCTAGAGGGCTAAACACCAAACTCAACGGTGGTTGTGGAAGTCTGTCCTTTTCTCCTGTCCTCACTTGCTCACGTTGCTGGGAATTTTCTGTAATTTTGTCACTATCTAGTGCTTCCAGTAGGTGGGGCAGGGTGGGAGGCTCCTTATAGGCACCCTGGTATCTCAGACCCTTGTTCTCCTGCCCTGACTACTCAATCAGCTGATACTTTAAATTTCTGTCTATAGCTTCTATGAGGGCGAATCAGGCCCTCCAAACTGGTTAAAGGTAGACAGGCATTGCAATACAAAACCCCAGGCCGAGGTGCCTTAGCAACTGAGGAAGGCCTGAGGGCAGATGGAGCTGGGTATCTGCAGATGCCAACCAGTCTTCACTTTCTGAGGAACTGGGGTTTCCCAGGGGCAGGAACAGCTACCAGGAAGTCTGGGGTCTGGTTGTATTTCTCATTGCAATCTGAGAGTGGCAGCATTTCCTACAAGAAGTGAAAATGGTGTCACCAAGGGCTCCTACATTCCCTCTCTACCTTCCTCTTCCTCAGCTTCCAAGCAGCCCTCTTCCAGCTGAGATTAGGACAGGAGAACACCAAGGGTGGCTCCCCTACTTCCTTCCCTTCCCTTGGGCTGAAAAGGACACCAATAGTTATTCTACATTTTGTTTATTTATCATCCATTCTAAAGCTGATTAATTGTACAAAGGGGGAAAAAGCAAATTGTGAACAGAGCTAAAAATGTAGAACTTTAAGAAGTTCACAACAAAAAACAGAAATACCACCGTCCTCCCCCACCCCTATTGCTTCCACATCCTGCACACTGGGAGACCTCTGAGATCCCAGCCCTGCCAAAAACAGGGCTTCCACACCCAGGTCCTCAGGGACAGAGGGAGCTTTACAGACCTGGCAGGCTCTAAAGGAAAACAGAACCCCAGGGAGGTGGGGAGGCCACTCAGTTCCTGCCCAACCCCGCTGGGTGGTGTGGGGTGTGGGCATTGCTCAGGATTGTTCAGGCAAAGGGAAAGGGGAGACAAATGACAACTCAAGCTATGTCACTGGTTTAAAGATGAGGCTAAACCTATAATCTGGACTTTGCCTGCTTTCATGTGAGTGGGATCGAGCCCGCGGGAAGAGTAATGACTTCAGCGTAAGCACAATTCCTCTAGACCCGTCTGCACGGTACAAGGCAACCAACCATAGATGTCTGCTGAGCAGCTGAAACCAAGCTGCTCTGAGATGCAGTACGTGTAAAACACATGAAGTTTTAATACAAAAAAAGTAAGATACCTCAATTTTTAAAACACTGATTACATGTTGAAATATTTTCTATGTATTGGGCTAAATGTGCTATTAAAATTACAGTCAGGTATTTTGGGGGGTAGTCCGTGTGCATACTAGGCAAGCATTCTACCACTGAGCTGTGCTGTTAAAATTTCACATTTTTTACATATGACTTGCATTTGTTGCTCAGTCTGTATTAGCAGTGCACAGCTGTTTAAAGGTACGTTTCCAGATCACTTCTCTGGATTGATTCAGCAGGTTTGGGTTGAGACTCGGGAGCTGCCCCAGATGACCATTATCAGGTGCACTTGGGGAGCTGTAGTTGTCAGAATGGTTCTTAATGGGTCTGAGGATGAGCTCTGTGCTTCTGGGACTCCCTGAGTTGAAGGGTGTGTGCAAAAGCAGGTAACATGGGCACATTTTAGTCCCAGCACCTACAGTTTGCCTCATTCACAGGATGACTTGGAAAATGCCAAGAACTGCAGCTTGCTAGTGCCATTCTCTTTGAAACCTCAGCCATTCCAGTTTCTAATTCAAGTATGCCCGGCCTTCAGAGAAGGAACTGCCGTGGTGTGTGTGCATAATGTACTAAAGCCAATATGAGCGTTTTCTTTGGCTTCATAGACATGAGAAAGTAAAACTCAGCTCTGTATTCCATTTGCCTCTCAGTATAATGCAGTCATTCACACTGAGTTCTGGAATGCCCAGAACTGTAGAATCTCTTCCTTTTATTTCCTGTACCATCAAGTGAAGTCAAAACAATTAACTATAGTAAGATGAAAACCCAAATTACACATGGGTTTCGGTTATGGGTTTTCCCCCTCACAACATTTAGCCCCCTCACCAAAACTGTGTGTTAGTTCTGGTCATCAAAGGTCAGGGAGGTGGGTTTTTTTTGTTTTTTTTCTTTTTAATTGACAATTTTAAGCACAGGGGATTTGAAAGGGAGCCTCAGTATTCTTAGGTAAACTCTGGCAGCCAGGAAGTACGGCTTTGTGAGCAAGCAGCTAGGAGGCTAGATTCTCCCCCATAATGAGAAGACCAATACCTAGTAATGGTGATTAGAGAAAGTCTCCAGGGCCAGTGCCCTCCTGATGAGGTGCCAAGTGGCTTTGCAACCAGCTAGAGCTCCTTTTCTGAGGAGCTATAATCAGACCAAACCACAGGGAGTCACAGACACGCAGCCACAAGGCCAGAATTTCTCAGCAATTGCTAATTACATGGAATTAGTCACTGAGAATTGTCTGCAATATGCCTTCCTCACTTCCTCGCCTTCCACTCCTGAACCCCAATCTGGGTCCCACTGCACTGAACCAGCTGTTAAAGTGACCAGTGATCTCCATGGTGCTGCATGTGGCCACTGTGTCCTTTTATCACTTATCAGCAGCATCTATGTGGCTGACTGTTCCCTCTTCCTTGACCATTTCTTTACTCATGATTGGTGCAATACCTCCTGGGCCTGCATTTCCCCCACTTTACCAGTTGTTCCTGAAGTCATGGCTTTTGACTCCTCCCTCTATACTCCACTTCTAAATACTGGGAGTTATTTAGGACTTTGGCCTGGACCATATTTTATATCTTACTCTTTCTTTAATTCTGTCCATTCCCTTTTGTTTTCTTAAAGCCTATCTACATGCTGAAGACTTTCAAATCATTATCTCTAGGCTTTTCCTCAGATCTCTGGACTTCTCCATTTGACACCTCCACTTCATCTTAATATGTCCAGAGCAGAACTTCTGAAGTTACACCCAAATCCCTCTTTCTCCTGTGTCATCAAATGTCAGAGTCACTTGATTACTTAACACTTGCAAGATCCTTAGCCCCACTCCTCCCCCTCATCCTCCACATCCATTCAGTAGCAAACCTTGTCTACTGACTCTTGGCTTCAAGCTGTTTCTCCCATCTCCACCAGGTGCAAGCTGCCATCCTTTCTGCCTGGATAACCATGGCAGTCTGCTGAGTGGACTCTCTGCTTTCACCTTTGCACCCTCTGATCTGGTTTTCATGCCGCAGCAAAGCCATTTTTAATGTGACAAATCAGAATTTATTTGTGCCCTTCAGTGCCTTCCACCTGCACTAGGGTGGCCACACCTCCACCGACAAAATTCTGCTTAGCCTGACTCTTGCTGTCCTGCGATGTCCTTCCACGCCTCTGTTCATTTTCATCTCAGCTCAAATGTCATCTCTCAGGCCTACCTTGACCACCATCAGCAATGAATAAGTGAACCAGGCTAGGACAGCATATTGTCACCTCCTTCATATTACTTATTGCAAATGATACTTACTGAGAAAAGGGGGGAAAAAAAACCAACACAGTGATTATATCTCTTCAGCCTCTTTCTCTCCTTAATGTTAACCATCAAAATGTATAACTGCTTATGTTTTAGACTATCTAGGCAGCAGATAACAGTTATCTTTTAACTCTTTTACAAGGGATATGGTCATTTAATTTTGAATCAGCACTACTATCATGCATAATTGTGTAGATGAGGGACGTGAGGCACAGGTACGAAAGTTGCTGTTCACATGCAAGAGTCTGTCTGTAGAGCCTGGGTAGTTATGCCTCTCACGGAAGTATCTTGTAATTTATAAAGGGAATGGATTGAATATGAGATAAACAAGAGCTCTGGTGAGGGGCAGTTGGCCTGTGGAACTAGGATTAAACGTCCCCAGGTGATGATGTGCTGCAGCTGTATGT